AATTGTTTCTGATTATAGAAAATCAAAAAAAACAAATGATAATTCCTTATTTAGAAAATATATACAATTAGATTCCAAATGTGGATTTAAAAATATTCAATTTCTATTATTATTTGCCTATTTTGAACATCACCTGAATTGAAAGATGTTCTTTTATATTACTATTATAATACTAATAATACTACTAAAAATAGAAAACATTACTTATATGTCGATGATTTAATTACTGACATGATGTGTTTTCCAGACATGTTTGAACCATCACTTTCCAATATAATTCAAGTTCCTACTCAAATATTAAATTGTAAAACTAGAGAAATAACCATCTCACAAATATTAAATAGAATATTAAATGATAATTTTACATTTAATACTATATTAAATAATGTTAATATGAAATTTACAAAATCAAGTATTGAATATTTAAGAAAAAGATTAATTCATCAATCCAAAGTTACACCACTCTTTACACGTCTCTATTTTACAAAATATTTTGAACCTAGAAATGAAAATGATGAAATTAGGAATGAAATTAGGAATGAAAATGATGAAAATGAGAGAATTAAATTATGGAATGAAATTTCCAAAGGTAGAAAATTAAATTTAAAAATGCTCAAATATTATCCAAATTATTATTCACAATTGAGTGATGAATTTAAGAATGAAAAGGAATTTAAAGCAATTGCAATGGAAAATTTAAAATGCAATTTGAAATATTTTAATGTGGAAAATAATGACGATGAATTTGTAATGGCACTTTCTGGTAATTTTAAAAGAAATATTAAAATATTGAAAAGTAAATATGGAAAGGAAAATATTAAGGAAAGAATTAAACGAATTTTCCAACAAGAAAATGGAAGAATTCGTAAAGAATGGTTAAATTGGCCACGTGTCTATGATTTATATCAATTCCATCTTTGTTATTTATATACTGATATGGAACATGTATTTACCATTCAAGATCAAATTGAAATGATTGATCATGGAACACCTGCAATTGTTAAGAAAATTGCCATAACCAATGATGAAAGAATTTTAGAAAGAATTCGAATGAAGAATTTATTGGACATTTGGTTTTCAACCAATTCAACTAGTTTCATGGTAGTAACATTTAGATATTGTTTGAGTTATAAATCACATCAAGCTGTTTATAGAGCTTTGGATAGAACTTTTATTACATTACAAAAATCTGATCAATTTTTATCAAAGGTTTTACAAGTGGTTCCTAAATTTGTAAAGGTATTTTTCACAGTTAGAAAATCATATTATTATGATACACGTACTGTTATTGATTTCCCATTTGAATTAATTAGAGAACTTGCATTGGAAAATCAAGAATTGTACATTATTTACCTAGAAATATTCAAAAGAGATTGAAAAATCCATTCTCCCTTTAAAAATATTAAAAAATATATTTATTATTTTCATCATTTATTGCCATATTTGAAAATTCAATTTAAAAGGTAAAAAAAAAATCAATCAAGGTATTCCTTGTATTAAATCTTGAAGAATTTCATGACTTGTTGAATCTAATTTACAATTGGTTCTATTTTGTCCAGACCACAATTGAGAAAAGTCGAAATTTAATTCTCTCTCCAAATGATTTCTCAGTGGTGTGAAATAATTGGTTGATTTTGGAAAGGGTGGTGCATATTCTGAAATAGTTCCAATTTCTTTCATTGCTCTATTTACAATGGAACGAGCAGGTCTTCCTGTGAATATATTAGTCACTGCAGTTGGTAATGAAACATCTGTCAATAACTTTTTATATTTCACAGTTGATTCCTGACATGTTAAAAAAACAGTTCCACATTGAACACCACTAGCTCCCAATTGAAATGCTGCTGTTACTGTCTGTGCATCAACAATTCCACCAGCAGCCACAACAGGTACCTTCACTTTCTTTACAATTTGTGGTAGGAGTGAAAATAATCCCATTTGAGTGGAAATATCATTTGATAAAAACATTCCTCTATGTCCACCTGCTTCTATTCCCTGTGCAATTATAATATCCACTCCATTTTCTTCCAAATAAAGTGCTTCTTCAACTGTTGTAGCACTTGACATGATTCTAATATTCATCCTTTTCAATTCCTTTACAATTTCTTTAGAAGGTAAACCAAAATGAAAGCTAACTACAATTGGTTTAAATTCATTCAATACAGGAATAATATTTTCATTGAAAGGTAATCTGGAAATTGAAGAAGAAATTTTAAATTCCACATTAAATTCTTGATAATATTTTTCAATTATTTGGCGCCATTGATTTTCATTTTTAGTATTATTGGGATTTTCATGACAAAAGAAATTTAAATTGAATGAATGATCGGTGGCTAATTTAATCTTTTTAATTTCTCTTCTCATTTCTTCAATATCTAACGTGGCACATGGTAATGAACCTAATGCTCCAAATTTGGAAACTTGAATGGCGAGTGTGGAGTTTTGAGCACCAGCCATTGGAGCTTGAATAATCGGATATTTGACTTTGAGCAATCTCTTGATTGGATTCATTTTTTTTGATTATGAGAATGTATTAATTTCGAATTGTCCACCCGATTTTGTAAACTTTGTAAATCTTTACAATAATATTATGCAATATTGATAAGGATTCTTTTTTTGAAAATTCCGATTTGTGAACCAATAAAACAAGCCTTGAAAATGCGCCATGTTTTTTTTACATTAAAATCAACTAGTTGGTGGTGAGAATCATCGTCATACAACAAATTGACATTACGCAACTCCTTACCACATAATGTTCTTTTCAGAGCCTTGTTGTTGTGTGATCAAAAAAGCCTCGACAGAATAAAAGCCTTTGATGATGGAATTTTTTAATTTAAATTTAAATTTAAAAAAAAATGTTCACCAAGACTCTCCGTTCCGGACTCATCACCAAGAAGAATATTATCGGTTTTGCTACTCAACAAGTTAGAAGCAAACATCAATTACCAACATTGGACTATGCTGTCGAACAAGGTATTCATCCAGTTATTACTGCTCGTCAATTAGATTTCCACTACAATAAGCATCACAAGACCTATGTTGATAAGCTTAACGCATTGGTTGAAGGTACTTCATTTGAATCTCAACCTTTGGATGCTATTATTCAAAAAGTAGCCTATGATAGTGACCCAAAGAGTGTTGCCATCTTCAACAATGCTGCTCAACATTTTAATCACTCCTTCTATTGGAAATCATTGGTTCCAGGTGGTGATAAGATTGAAAACTATCCACTCATTAAACAAGAAATTGAAAAGCAATTCGGTTCCGTTGATGCTTTCAAACAACAATTCACTGAAAAGGCTACCACTTTGTTCGGTTCTGGTTGGACTTGGTTAGTTTTGGATGGTACTTCATTGAGAATTTGGAATGGTTCTAATGCTCAAACTCCAATTGCTGAAAATTTAATTCCATTGCTCACTTGTGATGTTTGGGAACATGCTTATTATTTGGATCATCAAAATAGAAGACCAGATTATTTGAAGACTTTCTGGGAAGCAGTTAACTGGGGATTCGTCAACAAGTCACTCCAATTTGCTGTTGAACAATCTAGTATTAAATTGTAATTTAATTACTATTACTACACTATAGTAAATAATAATATAAAAAGGATTTAATTTATTAGATGAGCCTAACTTGTTTGAATTTTTACTACATTCTTCCACTGATCAATTGAATGGTTAGTCAATTAATTCCGAAATAATCAAAGCTCATAATAATATTCCTAAATCAATTATTCAGTAATCAAAAGAATAAATTTATATTTGAAATTTTAAAGCTGTTTACAGGTCGGAGTAAAATTTATTGGTTGCTAAGGATAGTTATTGGATCTTAGCAGTAGACTTGATCAAATCCAAAACTCTGTTAGAGTAACCCCATTCGTTATCGTACCAAGCAACAACCTTAACAAAGTGTTCATTCAAACAAATTGAAGCCTTGCTATCATAAGTGGATGAAGCAGAATCATGGACGAAATCGCTAGAAACAACTTCTTCATCAGTGAACTTCAAAATACCCTTGAATCTTTCAGATTCAGAAGCAGCCTTCATAGCTTCATCAATTTGCTTCTTAGTAGCTGGCTTTTCCAATCTACAAGTCAAATCAACAACGGAAACATCAACAGTTGGAACTCTGAAAGCCATACCAGTCAATTTACCATTCAATGATGGAATAACCAAACCGACAGCCTTAGCAGCACCAGTTGAAGATGGAATGATATTGTAACCAGCAGCACGACCACCTCTCCAATCCTTTCTAGATGGAGCATCAACAGTTGGTTGAGTAGCAGTAACAGCGTGGACAGTGGTCATCAAACCTTCAACAATACCAAAGTTTTCGTGCAAAACAGCAGCAATTGGAGCCAAACAGTTAGTAGTACAAGAAGCATTGTTAATGACAGTCATTTCTGGCTTATATTCATGGTTATTGACACCCATAACAAATGTTGGAGTATCAGCAGGAGCAGAAATAACAACTCTCTTAGCACCACCCTTCAAGTGCTTGGCAGCAGAGTCCAATTTGGTGAAAATACCAGTGGATTCAACAACATATTCAACATTGTGTTGTCCCCATGGTAATTGTTCAGGATCTCTTTCACACAAAACGTGGATTTCACGACCATTGACAATGATAGACTTTTCAGTATGTTCGAGCTTACCATGGAATTTACCGTGGACAGTATCATACTTGATCATGTAGATCATGTATTCTGGAGTCATCATAATATCGTTAATGGCAACAACTTCGACATCAGTTCTTTCCAATGAAGCACGGAAAACCAATCTACCAATTCTACCGAAACCGTTAATACCAATCTTGACCATTTTGTTGTATGTTGTGTTGTGTTTGTATTTTTTTGTATTAAGCTTTTTGCTTGTTCTGCTCGCACCTTTAAAAACGCAAAGATTCCTATCGGGAGGTAGCTTCATGAACGAGAATGGTTCTGAGAGAGTAAATTTTGCATCAGCAGCCTTCTTGTGATGATGACTGTACATCACACTGGTTTAATTGGGGCTATAAAAGAGTTTGACCATATCTGGTCCCAATGAAGAGAAATCAAGAAAAGTTTCCATAGCATAGAGTACTAAAGAGAGTTTGCCAATTGAATACGTTGCCCAGTCATTTGATCGTTGTATGGATTGTATTGAGAGTAAAAGACTCGAAAAGTTTCTAATGTTTTTGAGAATTGATGTAAAATATCTTGTAGACATAATAGATGAAAACAAAATCTAACCAAGTTGGAAAGATAACTCAAGGTGAGTACCTCGTTACAATGAAAATCTCAACGTTCACAGTAGATTAGCTTATTTACTCTTCAATTCAGTCAATTTGTATTTATATATTGTAATAGTAATTTCACTTTTAAACACTAATAGATAATAACTATGAGTGGTAACTGTGCCTGATAAATCGAATAGTCTTATTCATTTCTTGACAATTTTACTTATTCGTTGTTTCTTCTCGATTTGATAGACCTAACATTTTTAAAATTTTCACCATTATTTACACCAATCAAAAGGCGCGATTAATTTTAACCAGCAGATTGGTTGGGAACTTTTTAGTCTCCTCCAACTTTACCATAATCGAATGCGATAGGCTTTATTTTGGTTAGAAATTCGTTCTCTTGTGTGATTGCTGCAGAGAGATCTTTACAAGCTTGCTGCTGGTACCATCTTTCAAAATTAAGCTTCATTTCCGAGAGAGCGTGGCTTATTTTTCAAACACAAAAATCAAAAAAAACCAACACAACAACATACAACAAATGGCTCACATTGATATCTGCGGAAAATTCGGTGCTGAATTGGACAAGACTGTCGAAATGATGGTTGCTAGAGGAAAGGGTCTCTTGGCTGCTGATGAATCTACTTCTACCATTGGCAAGCGTTTCGAAAAGATTCAATTGGAAAATATTGAAGCTAATCGTCAAGCTTACAGAGAATTGCTCTTCACTGCACCAAAGGAATACACTCAATTCATTTCTGGTGTTATTTTGTATGAAGAAACCTTGTTCCAATCTACTCTCAGTGGTAAGGCCTTTGCTGAATTGTTGACTGAAAGTGGTGTCGTTCCAGGTATTAAACTCGATTTGGGTGTTAAGGAATTGCCTGGCACTGATGGTGAAACTGCCACTCAAGGTTTGGATGATTTGGAAAAGAGAATTCAAAAGTACTATGCTAGAGGTGCTAGATTTGCCAAGTGGAGAGCTGTTTATAAGGTCTCTGATAATGGATTGCCATCTCAACTCTGTGTTGCTCAAAATGCTGAAACTTTGGCTAGATATGCTGCTATTTGTCAACAAAATGGTTTGGTTCCTATTGTTGAACCAGAAATTTTGGTTATGGAAGGATCACACAATATTGAAACTTCTTTGAATGTTACCAAGAGAGTTTTGGCTTCTGTTTTCCAAGCTTTGATTCAACACAATGTTAACTTGAATAGAATTATTTTAAAGCCTAACATGGTCTTGCCAGGTAACAATTCTCCAACTAAGGCTGAAGATGATAAGAAGATTGCTGAATACACTATTGATGCTTTGACTTCCACTGTCCCACCTGCTGTTAGAGGTATTATGTTCTTGTCTGGTGGTCAATCAGAACAACAAGCTGTTGAAACTTTGAATGCCATCAATAAGGTTAATGCTCCAAAGCCTTGGGCTATCTCATACTCTTATGGTAGAGCTTTGCAAGATTCTACTATTAGAACTTGGGCTGGTAAGAAGGAAAATGTTGAAGCTGCTCAAAAGGCTTACCTTGAACAAGCTAAGAAATGTTCTTTGGCTGCCAAGGGTGAACTCTAAATTATTTCTAACTTATTAAAAATTCTCTTTAACTTGATTGATCTTTATCGGAATGAATTTGATTATTTAATTATTTTAAAATTGATTACTCTGTGATGCAATTTTGAAATACATGACGATTTATTATTTCAGAAAAAATTACACAACAACTCATTATCCATTTGTCAACCATGATGATGATGAATACATCAAGTAATGTGACTAGTGTTGATCAGTTTCAAGCAGTGCTTGGAAATAAATTCACCTCTAAAAATCAACTGATAGAATTCATTTGTCATGAATTAAATTTCCCACTCAATTCCATTATTAATTTATATTTGGTCGGAAGTAGACTCTACAATTGTCATGATGAAAATTCAGATTATGATTTATTTATGATTATTCAAAATGATTTCACTCTTCCAAAAATAGATAAATTGAAATGGTTTGAAGTTGAAAATGATAAAATTCTATTAGAATCTCAAAAGGAAATTATTCAACAAGATTCAATTCCAAATAGAAATGAAAATTGTATCAGTTTTAGATCTGATTTATTAGATATTAATATTTACAAAAAAATTCAATTTGAATTTGAATTGAAATATTTTCTAGATCAAAGTTTATTTGAAATTGCATCACTTTCCTATTATAGTAATAATAATAGTAATAATAATAATAATAATGATAATAATAATTTGAATGAAATTAAAAATAGAGAAAGAATTGAAAATTGTATTTTAATTGAAAATGAAAAATATTTCATTACAAATATTAAAACAGGAATTGAAAAATCATCATTCAGATCACCATTCAGTAGAAAATCATCAAATTCATATATTAAAACTAAAAAGAAATTATGTGTTGAACATGATTTAAGAGTTGGATTAAAATCAATGTTTCACTCTATGAAAATTCTCATATTTGCCATTCAAATTCTCAAATTTGGATTTGTTTATAATTTTGAAGAGGCTAATTCACATTATGAATATATCATGTCTTTTAATAATGATATTGAAAAAGAACAGGAATGGTATGATAATGTGTGGAATCAACTCGATGCCAAATTTAAAATTATTAAAAAGGATCTTGAGAGGGAATTTCACTTGTTGGCGCCAAAAATTGGAAAACAACAAAACAATAAAAAGAAATAGTAAAAAATTATATTCACAATCATCAACAACAACAATAACCTTAATATTATTCATTTTACCATCATCTTAATCATCAACATTATATTTACTCTAAGCATACCTTAATATTATTATAATCATCATCAACATTATCATTAAAATGGACTTGTTTAATAATATGACATTAATATTTCCATTGGATATTCCAATTAAATGTATGGAAATGCAATCACATCAACATTCTCATCATAACAATATTTTAAATAATACAAATAATAATAATAATAATAATAATTTAATAACTTTCCAAAATAATAATAATAATATACTAGATGGTGAAGTATTGGATCGTCTCGAAAAGGAATATCAAACAAAAATATATAATATTAAAATAGCATTGGATACTCCACCTGATTTATTGGCAAATATTAAATTTTTACAACATCAACAACAACAACAACAAAATCATTTTGTTAATAATAATAATACTACTATAAATGGAAATTTTCAACAAGATAGTGAAGATGATGTCATGTTAGAAGATCAAGATGATGATGATGATGATGAATATGATAGTTCAAGTGATGATGATTTTATAAATCAATTTAATCCAATCCATTATCATGATATGAATACTTCCATATATATACCTAATCATAATAATAATAATAGTTCAAATAATAATGGTTCTAATAATAATTCTAATAATGGAAATATGTCAAATTTACTAAATCAAGGTTTATTATCATCACCTAATACTCAATATATTATTCAATATATTGATGAAGAAGAATTAGAAGATACTTCTATTTTAAATATTTCAAGAATTTCACCTCCTCAATCACCTCCACATTTATAATTTATTTTTTTAAATATTATTATTTAAATTACAATATCATTATTTATTATTAGCATCTCAGATGAGGATAAAAGATGATTCGGAACCTTCACACATCAGTGTCACCCTTCAAAAAAATAAAAAAAAAATGCGTCATTCAAAACAACTATCATCACCCAACAATATGAATAATAACAATCATAATAATAATAGATCATTAGAACAATATTCACAATCAACAACAGGATTACTTCAATCAACATTAACACTTTCTAAATCAGCAACATCTAATAATCAAATATATAAACAAGGTTATTTATCTAAAAAACCATTAAAATCATCAAAATCAACTTTTAAATATAAATTCAAAGGTTGGAAAAAACGTTGGTTTGTTCTACAGAAAACTTCAATTTATTATTATAAAGATGCTGCAATTGCTGCTGCTGCACAACTTGAATCTCAAAATAGTAAATATCAACCATTAGGTATCATTTCATTGGCAGAGGATATTAAAATTGGTATGTTTTTATTTATTTTTTTATATATATATTAATATATTTTTATTTATATATCTATTTATCTATATATGGATGTATAATATATAATAATATATATTTATAAATTAAATAATAATATAATATAATATAAATATAAATATAAATAAAAATAGAAAAAGATGAAATTGAATCAGTTGAAAGTGGAATGTTTGTATTTAAAATTATAACACCATATGCACAACATTTAATTGCAGCTAGTTCAGAACAAGAAAGAAGAGAATGGATTGATTCCATAGTTGGAATTACAGGTGCAATTCAAGTTTCTAAATTAGTACAATATGTTACAAAATTACAAGTTACTATTGTGGAAGCTAAATTAAATGATGAATTTATTAATAAGGAAAATTCAAAATTAGATCAAGATGAAAAAAATGATATTATTCAACAAAGTCATTTTCAAGTTAATTGTAAAGTGAAAAGTAATTTTCAGGAATTTTCAACAGTTTCACAAACAAAAAGGTTTGGTTATTCCATCATTGAATGGTAAATTGACTGGTATGGCTTTCAGAGTTCCAACTGTTGATGTTTCCGTTGTTGATTTGACTTGTAGATTGGAAAAGCCAGCTACTAAGAAGCAAATTGATGAAGCTATGAAGGCTGCTTCTGAATCTGAAAGATTCAAGGGTATTTTGAAGTTCACTGATGAAGAAGTTGTTTCTAGCGATTTCGTCCATGATTCTGCTTCATCCACTTATGATAGCAAGGCTTCAATTTGTTTGAATGAACACTTTGTTAAGGTTGTTGCTTGGTACGATAACGAATGGGGTTACTCTAACAGAGTTTTGGATTTGATCAAGTCTACTGCTAAGATCCAATAACTATCCTTAGCAACCAATAAATTTTACTCCGACCTGTAAACAGCTTTAAAATTTCAAATATAAATTTATTCTTTTGATTACTGAATAATTGATTTAGGAATATTATTATGAGCTTTGATTATTATTTCGGAATTAATTGACTAACCATTCAATTGATCAGTGGAAGAATGTAGTAAAAATTCAAACAAGTTAGGCTTAATAAATTAAATCCTTTTTATATTATTATTTACTATATAGTGTAGTAATAGTAATTAAATTACAATTTAATACTAGATTGTTCAACAGCAAATTGGAGTGACTTGTTGACGAATCCCCAGTTAACTGCTTCCCAGAAAGTCTTCAAATAATCTGGTCTTCTATTTTGATGATCCAAATAATAAGCATGTTCCCAAACATCACAAGTGAGCAATGGAATTAAATTTTCAGCAATTGGAGTTTGAGCATTAGAACCATTCCAAATTCTCAATGAAGTACCATCCAAAACTAACCAAGTCCAACCAGAACCGAACAAAGTGGTAGCCTTTTCAGTGAATTGTTGTTTGAAAGCATCAACGGAACCGAATTGCTTTTCAATTTCTTGTTTAATGAGTGGATAGTTTTCAATCTTATCACCACCTGGAACCAATGATTTCCAATAGAAGGAGTGATTAAAATGTTGAGCAGCATTGTTGAAGATGGCAACACTCTTTGGGTCACTATCATAGGCTACTTTTTGAATTATAGCATCCAAAGGTTGAGATTCAAATGAAGTACCTTCAACCAATGCGTTAAGCTTATCAACATAGGTCTTGTGATGCTTATTGTAGTGGAAATCTAATTGACGAGCAGTAATAACTGGATGAATACCTTGTTCGACAGCATAGTCCAATGTTGGTAATTGATGTTTGCTTCTAACTTGTTGAGTAGCAAAACCGATAATATTCTTCTTGGTGATGAGTCCGGAACGGAGAGTCTTGGTGAACATTTTTTTTTAAATTTAAATTTAAATTAAAAAATTCCATCATCAAAGGCTTTTATTCTGTCGAGGCTTTTTTGATCACACAACAACAAGGCTCTGAAAAGAACATTATGTGGTAAGGAGTTGCGTAATGTCAATTTGTTGTATGACGATGATTCTCACCACCAACTAGTTGATTTTAATGTAAAAAAAACATGGCGCATTTTCAAGGCTTGTTTTATTGGTTCACAAATCGGAATTTTCAAAAAAAGAATCCTTATCAATATTGCATAATATTATTGTAAAGATTTACAAAGTTTACAAAATCGGGTGGACAATTCGAAATTAATACATTCTCATAATCAAAAAAAATGAATCCAATCAAGAGATTGCTCAAAGTCAAATATCCGATTATTCAAGCTCCAATGGCTGGTGCTCAAAACTCCACACTCGCCATTCAAGTTTCCAAATTTGGAGCATTAGGTTCATTACCATGTGCCACGTTAGATATTGAAGAAATGAGAAGAGAAATTAAAAAGATTAAATTAGCCACCGATCATTCATTCAATTTAAATTTCTTTTGTCATGAAAATCCCAATAATACTAAAAATGAAAATCAATGGCGCCAAATAATTGAAAAATATTATCAAGAATTTAATGTGGAATTTAAAATTTCTTCTTCAATTTCCAGATTACCTTTCAATGAAAATATTATTCCTGTATTGAATGAATTTAAACCAATTGTAGTTAGCTTTCATTTTGGTTTACCTTCTAAAGAAATTGTAAAGGAATTGAAAAGGATGAATATTAGAATCATGTCAAGTGCTACAACAGTTGAAGAAGCACTTTATTTGGAAGAGAATGGAGTGGATATTATAATTGCACAGGGAATAGAAGCAGGTGGACATAGAGGAATGTTTTTATCAAATGATATTTCCACTCAAATGGGATTATTTTCACTCCTACCACAAATTGTAAAGAAAGTGAAGGTACCTGTTGTGGCTGCTGGTGGAATTGTTGATGCACAGACAGTAACAGCAGCATTTCAATTGGGAGCTAGTGGTGTTCAATGTGGAACTGTATTTTTAACATGTCAGGAATCAACTGTTAAATATAAACAGTTATTGACAGATGTTTCATTACCAACTGCAGTGACTAATATATTCACAGGAAGACCTGCTCGTTCCATTGTAAATAGAGCAATGAAAGAAATTGGAACTATTTCAGAATATGCACCACCCTTTCCAAAATCAACCAATTATTTCACACCACTGAGAAATCATTTGGAGAGAGAATTAAATTTCGACTTTTCTCAATTGTGGTCTGGACAAAATAGAACCAATTGTAAATTAGATTCAACAAGTCATGAAATACTTCAAGATTTAATACAAGGAATACCTTGATTGTTTTTTTTTTTACCTTTTAAATTGAATTTTCAAATATGGCAATAAATGATGAAAATAATAAATATATTTTTTAATATTTGGTTAAAGGGAGAATGGATTTTTCAATCTCTTTTGAATATTTCTAGGTAAATAATGTACAATTCTCTGATTTTCCAATGCAAGTTCTCTAATTAATTCAAATGGGAAATCAATAACAGTACGTGTATCATAATAATATGATTTTCTAACTGTGAAAAATACCTTTACAAATTTAGGAACCACTTGTAAAACCTTTGATAAAAATTGATCAGATTTTTGTAATGTAATAAAAGTTCTATCCAAAGCTCTATAAACAGCTTGATGTGATTTATAACTCAAACAATATCTAAATGTTACTACCATGAAACTAGTTGAATTGGTTGAAAACCAAATGTCCAATAAATTCTTCATTCGAATTCTTTCTAAAATTCTTTCATCATTGGTTATGGCAATTTTCTTAACAATTGCAGGTGTTCCATGATCAATCATTTCAATTTGATCTTCAGTGGTAAATACATGTTCCATATCAGTATATAAATAACAAAGATGGAATTGATATAAATCATAGACACGTGGCCAATTTAACCATTCTTTACGAATTCTTCCATTTTCTTGTTGGAAAATTCGTTTAATTCTTTCCTTAATATTTTCCTTTCCATATTTACTTTTCAATATTTTAATATTTCTTTTAAAATTACCAGAAAGTGCCATTACAAATTCATCATCATTATTTTCCACATTAAAATATTTCAAATTGCACTTTAAATTTTCCATTGCAATTGCTTTAAATTCCTTTTCATTCTTAAATTCATCACTCAATTGTGAATAATAATTTGGATAATATTTGAGCATTTTTAAATTTAATTTTCTACATTTGGAAATTTCATTCCATAATTTAATTCTCTCATTTTCATCATTTTCATTCCTAATTTCATTCCTAATTTCATTATTTTCATCATTTTCATTTCTAATTTCAAAATATTTTGTAAAATAGAGACGTGTAAAGAGTGGTGTAACTTTGGATTGATGAATTAATCTTTTTCTTAAATATTCAATACTTGATTTTGTAAATTTCATATTAACATTATTTAATATAGTATTAAATGTAAAATTATCATTTAATATTCTATTTAATATTTGTGAGATGGTTATTTCTCTAGTTTTACAATTTAATATTTGAGTAGGAACTTGAATTATATTGGAAAGTGATGGTTCAAACATGTCTGGAAAACACATCATGTCAGTAATTAAATCATCGACATATAAGTAATGTTTTCTATTTTTAGTAGTATTATTAGTATTATAATAGTAATATAAAAGAACATCTTTCAATTCAGGTGATTGTTCAAAATAGGCAAATAATAATAGAAATTGAATATTTTTAAATCCATATTTAGAATCTAATTGTATATATTTTCTAAATAAGGAATTATCATTTGTTTTTTTTGATTTTCTATAATCAGAAACAATTGATTTTTCATCTAATAATTCATAATATGAATCTGATAAGTGAATTAAACTATCATTATATTTTTCAAATACTTTTCTATATTGATTATAAGTGGGAGAAATGTCAAATCTATATTTAGATTGAAATGCCAAATTAACAATTTCCTTATTTGGATTTTTAACAAATTTAATCAACCATCCATTATTAGAAACAGCCAATTTGACAATTTCCTCATCATTTTTCAAATTTTCATTTAAAAATATGAAAAATTTTGAACAAGCCTTTGGAATAATTTCAAAAAATTTCATAATAAATTTTTTACAATTCAACAATTCTTGTGGAATATCCAAAAAATCATAAAAACTGTTAATGATCATTGATGATCTAAATGGTAAAATGAACAATCTCTCATCCATTTCTCTAATTTTATCCATTTCAATGAATTTCCATAAATTTTGTTTATATCTCTTCTTCTCTATAAGGAAATAAATCATATCAGAGAATAATGATTTTTGAAAATTGGAGAGATCATCACTCGGAGATCTTTCACTTGCCAACATTCCCAATGATTCTACAGTGGTAAAATGATGATCTTTTAATAGTGATGGAAAATCCTTCAAAATTCCTCTCATCACCAAATGTCTCCTATTAAAAGTTAATAATTCTGCAAATGATGAACAAACAAGTGAAAATTTACAAAAATCAGGGAATGGAATGTAATCGAGAATCATGAACCAATCATCTTGACATAATTTAACGTTAAATTGGTGATCATGATCTTGATGATCTTGGAATGAAAAGGCTTCTTGTTGTTGTTGGTGCGAAATGTATGAAATTTGTTTGGAAAATTCACGAATGGGTTCCAATTCTTGTATTTGTGTTTGTAAATTCAAGTTAAATTCAAAGTCTGATAAATTAATGACCTGATCGTCGTCATCTTCGACTAGTTGGAGAATATTCCGACCGTGATCTCCTGCAAACATTTTTTAATATTTTTTTAATATTTTTTTAAATTGTGGAAGTTCAATTTTTGATTTTTAATTTTTTCAAATTCAAAATTGAATATTTAAATCACTCAATGTGAAAAGATTGTTTGATTCTAATTGGAATCTTTTTCTAAATTAGATTTTTTTACAAAACAATTACAAATAATTTATTAATAATTTTAAAAGAAAATAAAAAAAAATATGATATCATCATCCACATTAACATCAGCATCAAAAGATGCCAAACCAGTAGTGAAAAAGGTTTCGGAAATGAATGATGAAGAATTATTGAATGAAGAATTAGAATTAACGGAAGAAGAATTGAAGGAATTTGGAGATGATGAAGATTTGAAACCATATATTAAAGTAAAACAGGAAGAACAGAAGAAGAAGAAGGCTTTGAATTCATCATCATCAGCAACAACAACAACAACAACATTGGAACAACAGAATACAACAACATCTAATGAAGAAAAACCAAAGGTTTTACCTCCTAATCCTTCATTTGTTCCAACTATATTGTACGTCATTTAATAGTATTATTATAATAATCATATATTTAATTATATTTATATTTAAACTTAAAATATTATAATTGTTGAATGTTAAAGAAATCCAATCAATTCAACAGCTAGAAACAAATTAATTATAGCTACAATTTGCATGTTTACATTACCATTAATTGGATTTTATTATGCCTATTATTATTTATTGAATGGAATGATAGTTTCCTATTCAAATCATGATCGTTTAATTTGGGGAGCTGTTTCTGCTGTTGTAATTGTTCAATTTGTTATTGGAGGATTTTTATATTCATCACTTTCAGAAGAAGAACCTGAATTGACTGAAGAAGAAAAGAAAATAAGAGAAAAGGAATTACATGCTGTTAGAAACATTTTATTAAGTGAAGGTAATTTGAAAGATTATAGTACAAAGGCAATTATTGAACGATTCAAAAAAAAGCAAGAAGAAAAGAAAGATTAAACATCTTCATCATCTTCTTTACAATCAGCAATTAATTCATCTTGACTATTATCACTGATACTCAATCTCTCTTCAATTATTTCCTCTGTTTCATTAGTTTCTAGTGGTTCTGTTTCTTCTTCTTTTAAACTATGTGTTGTGAATTCTTCATCATCCTCTTCTTCGATTTCTTCTTCTAAAATCATTTTTTCTTCTCTAGCTTCTTGAATTGACCTAATGGAATTATTCATTTCTTGAGTGATAATATCTAATTTCTGTTCAAGTTCTCTTAGTTTACCATCATCTGCTTCCTCATCAATTTGTTCACCCTTTACAAGTTTAGAAATTCTCAAACTCTCCTTTTGAGCTTGTTCTTTTTGTTCAATGACAATATTTTCCAATTCTCTAATCTTCTTTTCCAGGAATGAGATGGTCTTTTCTTGTTCTAGTACGATTGAAATATTTTCTTTGTGTGTTTTAACTCTATTATGTTCTTCTGACTTTAATTTTGTAAGCAATAATCTGATGAATCTATTTTGAGCCTTAATCTTATCTTGAGGATTAGCATCCATTTGAAGATTCTTATTATCTTCTGGATCCAACAACCCCTTAATTTCAGTATAGACATCTAAATATTCTTTTGGTATTTCCACTGATGTTGTATCAAGAATTTCCTTACTCATACCTCTTTCCAATTTGACTCTTTCTAATTCTTTTGATAATTCTGAATTTTCTTGTTGCTTTATGGAAAGCTTTCGTTTCAAGTCTTCAATTAGTGACTCTTCTTCCTCCAAAAGTCTTTGGAATTCTTTGATTTTAGTTTCAAATACTTTTTCCTTCTTTTTCCAATCTTCTGATTCACCATTGTTTGAAGCTGAAATTGCTTTTTCTTGTTGTAAATGAAGCTTTTCCTCTAATTCTTGGATTTCATCCAATAATTGAACATTCTTTTCCTTCATTCTTGCAAACTTTTCTTGCCAAATAATATCATTTGATGATTGTTTTTCATTAATGATGGATTCAAATCTTTCTCTCTTTTTCACTTCATCCTCCCAAGCATCTTCACATTCTTTCAATTGTTTTTTCAATGATGAGTTTTTCTGCTTTTCTTCCTTGTACTTTTCTGTAATCTTTTTCAAAGAATCTCTTAATCGATAAATAATTGAAGTACCCTTCTCTTTGAAATTTTGGAATTCTTCATAGGTTTTTTGTTTTTCAATAAACTCTGTTTTCAGTTTTCCTTCAACTTCATTTAATTTTCCTTTCAAACTCGACTCTACTTCTCTTCTCCTTTCATTTTCAAAAGTACTTCTTCTAAGAATTTCCCTAATAGTATGAACATAATTATCCTCTTCTTGTTTGTGTGCACTTGCTAATTCCTCCATTTGCACTCTCAAATTCATCATTGAAGCAAGCCTATTTTCAAAAGCTTCTTTAAGATATTGATCAACTCTTTCTCTCAAATCCTTTTGTTCATTGTATAACTATTAGTAGTAGTGAATAATATTATGCACAACAATTAACTTACAGTTTTAGTATTAGGAGAATCATCAAATTCGGAAAGACTTGAATCATCATTCATTCTCTTAATTGGTGTTATAGTTTCAATAGAGTGAGATAATTCATCATGTTGAGGTGAGCCTCCAACAGATGTTCTAGGAGAACCCATGGAATTTCTTGATGATCGACCAGACCTCATCACTGGTGAATATTGTTGTGGAGAAGCAGTTCTCTTCGAGCTATAAGATGATGCCGATGATGATGTTGAATTATTGGAGGCTGTAGATTGAGGTGAGGTGCTCCTTACCTTATTCCCACCGTTTATTGTCTTCTTCATCCTATTACTTCTTTAAAATTTTGAAGGAGGTTGAGGAACAAGCCTTTAATGTTGCGCTATTTTTTTTCTCGTAACGGTTGATACCTTAATTTCATCAAGGCTTTGAAAAACACACAACAGCAATTTACTTTCATCCCTCTCTTGATGTAGGATGAAATATTAAGGAAAAAAGATCTTCTTTCATCGGAGTATTTTAACTAGTCAGCATATTATTGTTATTATTATTATTATTATATTGTTAATATCCCGTATTCATGATCTAAAAATCATTCAACATTTTGAATTGATTCATGATAATAAACATGCCCCTCACTATTATACAGTAAATAGTTAATGGAAGTTGATAAACAATTTGAGATTTCAAAGAACCGTCCAATGTTAAAACACACAACACATGAAAACAATCACCAACCAACAGAATGGCCACCATTGCATTGAAGAGAACATTCTTAGACCACTTATTCTGAGATTCCACATCTCTTTGATGATAATTACAAGCAACCATTAACAGTAAATGTAAACCTCCAAAAATAGTTAATAACATTGAAATAAATCTCATCAGAAAGGCCAAACTATCATGAATAGGAAGTGATTCTTTCATGGCATTGAAGAGTGGTGTGTGAACAAATGAATTAATCACAAATTCATTCGTTGGAAAGAAGAATAACAACAAGCCGAGTACAATTTCACAGAAAATTGGTTCAAACCACATGTAGGTAATGAACACTTTCATAAATAGTGCTAGGATGGAATGGTTTGCTGTCATTTTTTTCATGTGAAATACTCAGCAGTGGATGACATCTGTTGGATGATGTTGACACTTTGAATATTTCTATGAAAGTACGTGTCAGTACTAATCTTTAAATTGCGGTACGAAGAGGTCCTATGTAAATGGAAAGAACCATCTAGAGAGAAGGGAAACATGATATATTCATTGAAATTTGGTGGATCAGTAATGCGCCAGTGCACTTTCAACTTTATCAAGTGGAAAAAAGTTTAGAAAATTAAACGAAACAAAAAAAAGATGCAACTTACAGAGAACGTTCCCTGGTTGTTTGTTGGGAATGCATTGTTCGTGTTGTCATCGACATGTGCACCAGTTCTTATTTCCAAGTGGCAAAGTAAGTTTTTTGTGGGGTTTCGCGAAACTGGAATAATTGTTAATTTTTTCATAGGTAATGGATTTACTTCGCAACCATTGAGAAATTATGGTCATAAAAACTTTGTGTTGCAATCAGTGACTGGATATGTCTATCATCAGACACTGTTTAATATATGGTCTCATATTCTGACCTTTCCAATAGATTTGACATTGTAAGTTATTGTTTTTTTATTGGAAATTCAACTAAACACGTGTTTTGTGTAACTGTTCATAGATGGGCATGGTATTTTAATTATTATGGAAGTGTGTGGTTTCCTCAATTTCCTGGTTTATTATATTGGATTCATTACATGTTGTGTTTAGTGCAATTATTATCGATATCCATAGTTTCGAATAATGAAAAACCAACTAAAGAGCAAACAGATTCCTCTCTAATAATCTACCGCTATCAAAAGTTTAATTTCTATTTATTACAGTTCCTTATTACATACTTTGCCTTTTCGTTTTGGTATTTCATTCTTCCGTTCATCATGTTTCGAATTTTTCCAATTCGAATTTCAAATGATCCAATTTTACTGAACTGCTTCTTGATACTCAATGCATCCATACGATCAATAGCTCATTGTTCCGATTATATTCCACCAATTATGGTTAAACATGTGGATTTACCATTTACCTCAATTGGAAAAGGATTTTCAGCATTTTTACAATTAGCTTTCGAATGGAAAGTTTTAATATTCTTACCACTTGGAATATTATCCGAATTATGTGCTGGATATCCTGGTAGATTGTATGTTTGGTAAGTGATTTCATTTCCAAATTTTTGACAACTTTCGAATAGGAGATTGTTAGCAAATTTGAGGAGAATTTGTAATTTTATTGGAATTGAAGATGAAAATCAAACTTTTTTTCATTAAATTGGAAACAAGTTGACAAGGCAAAATTTTTAATTAACCGACAGGGATGGAATTCTTGGTCAATTACAAAACCAATTTTTGAATGGGCAATTGTAAACAATAAGAATTTCAAAGATTGAAATGCCCACTTTATTGTTCATTCAAACAATGAAATTGCATTCGCCCTTCGTCCTTATTAAATATACTTAATGGACAATACAAAACTTAATTTAATATTAAACAGATTAAACAGTTTCACCTTAGACTTATTCAATAATTGAATAAATTGTTAAAAATCATTCAATAATTTCAATTGATTCATGATAATAAACATCGCCCTCACTATTATACAGTAAATAGTTAATGGAAGTTGATAAACAATTTGAGATTTCAAAGAACCTTCCAATGTTAAAACACACAACACATGAAAACAATCACCAATCAATAACACTGCAATGAGTACATTGAAGAGAACATTTTGAGACCACTTCTTCTGTGGGGCAATTGTTTTTCTATGATAGTTGCATGTTAGCAGTATTAAAAAGTGCAAACATCCAAACGTGGTCAATAACATTGAAATAAATCTCATCAGAAAGGCCAAACTATCATGAATAGGAAGTGATTCTTTCATGGCATTGAAAAGTGGTGTGTGAACAAAGGAATTGATCACAAATTCATTTGTTGGAAAGAAGAATAACAACAAGCCGAGGAATATTTCACAGAAAAGAGGTTCAAACCAAGTGTAAGCCATGAAGAATTTCATAAACAAGGCAGGAAAGGTTTTGATTATTGACATTTTTTCAATATTTTGCTTGAGTAATTCATTTGATACAATGAGCAGTGACAGATGCACAAACGTGTCAGTTACAAGTGTTGGCGGTTTTAAAGGTTTCATGGTGTTATGTATAGACAAGGAAAGAACCTTTTTATGGAAATATTAAGAATGATCAAGCTTAACCGTATTAATGACATGTCGATTTTTTGCAGTGAATTTCCTTTTAGTCTGTTTTATTCCATTCGTTATTTGAGTTTATGCTACAACACGTGTAGATTAATTCGCATAATAAATGATAATTAAGGATATCATTACTCAATATTTGAAATAGTTTAACTCTAATACTTTACATTGTGTAATTGTTACGATTCAGAGTTCAAACTTTCTTTTGCTCGTTCTATTTATTGAATATCGAATGTCAATTGTGTAAAATAAAGAGAAATGTTAGTAACCTCATGGTTGGCGCCTTTTTCACTACAGCTTTAATGTTTAAAAAAAATGCCCACTTCATTAAATAGCCTTAAAACAACAGGAAAACAAAAACTGAGAGTGAAACCACCAAAAAAACAAGTATTGGACGAACCACCACATTCGCCAACAAAAAAGAGAGTTGCTTCCGATCCAAATTTTAACAACAGTATTGAAGCAGAAATACAAAATGACTTGTCTGCACTAGAAGCAAATGAATCGCACCTTTTGAGAATGTACATTTCTTCTGGATACTATAAAAGTAAACCGTTTCAGATTCCAGCATGGTGTGAGTCTAAAAACAGATTCCTTTGCAAACTGTCATTGTTTCGTATAACCCCCAGCGATGTATCTAACCACAACGATGTTATTTCCCCTTTGGCAAAGGAATTTGAAAGTTTACTAAGCAAAGTTGCAGAAGAAAATGCTTCTGAAACTTCTATTCGAAATCTACTATCAAAAAGCCCAAAGTTTGAAAAGAAAGTTTGCCACTCAATAGAAATTCAACATGCAAGGTGGTGTCTTCACCCTTTATTGTTCAAAGAAAGGGTATTGATGGGATGTTGTGAAGAGCCTAGCGACCTGGAATTAACAATTAGGATGTTCAGCTCTCTTTGTAATATGAGTGATCTTTTTGGAGATACCAAGACAAATGCGTAAGTTTCTTTAGTAGCTTCAATTTATGACTCATAATCGATACAGAGGGGTGCAATTAAACATGGTCAGAGCCAATGAAAACTTTAAAGAATTGAACGAAAAACTCAAACAATTAATGTCTGATAGAAGTGTTACATTTAAAATTCCAAATACAGGTTCGTATGTAATACGTGTACTACAAGAAGATGAGTCAGATATCCTCAACGAGGCACAAAATCACCCAGACGAAGATAAACTAATTTGCTTGTTGAAAATTTCTCACAACAAGTTGATGAAAATAGCATTTTAACTGCTGACAAGTTAAAGAAAAAACAATCTATCTTTGCGCGATACATGTCAAAGCTTCAGCATTTTATGTTGAGATGTCATTTGAAGGTAAATGTTTGACAGATGTTAGTGTTGATTTTGAAAAAGCTGTGAAAATGATTGTTCAATTATTGGTAGAAATGGGAAAGATTCACATGCTTAAATATATTCACAATGATGTGAAAAGAAGTAATATAGTTATTTACAATGATTTTACCAAGTTAATTGACTTTGAACTAGCAAAGAAATTTGACTTTTATGATAGGGAGAATCAAATTTGTGAACTTTTTGGTGACAAGGTTTATTCCAAAGCAGGTATGTTTTCATAATTTACAATTTACTAATCCAACCAAATCATTAAGGAACTCCAAATATGATGCCCCCAGAAAAAGAAAAAACAGGATCTGGTTATATTACGCCTTTGACCGATATTTATTGTTTGGGAATTGTTATTTCAGAAATATTAGATTGGAATCTTACAGTTTCTACATTTTCAGAAAATCAAAAACGAGTGATAACCAAGATACGAGAAATGAGTTCAAATATGCTCCACAAAGATTCAAAACAGAGATGGGATACAGATCGGTGTCTTGAATATCTTCAATCTGAAAACATTATTTCAAAGAATGATATTCTCCATGAAAAGGAAAATCATGGCAGAACTACAGAGTTTGTTGATAGTGAAATACAGACATACCTTGTTGATAAATCAATAATGTATGATTAGGACTATAACACCTTTCCTAGATAATAAATTACGTGTTATGATATTAAAAGTATTATCATGTTGTTGACTGCTTTATTGATAATAATTGTAAGCCATGAAGAATTTCATAAACAAAAGGAAGTGGTTATTGACATTTTTTCAATATTTTGTTGGAGTCCTCATAATTTGATACAATGAGCAGTGACAGATGCACTGCTTGAAAAGTTCACTAATCTGTCAGTTACAAGTGTTGGCCGTCTTAAAGGTTTCATGGTGTTATGTATGGACAAGGAAAGAGCCTTTTTATGGAAATAGTAAGATTGATTAAGCTTAACCATTTAACAACGACAGGTTGACTTTTTGCATTGTAATTGGAAACAATGCAGTGAAATTTACTTTTACTCGCAAAATTACAGCAAACCACAGTAGGTTTAATTCGAAACTCTGAAAAAAAGATGCAGCTCTATGAGATACCACTGTTGTTGGTTATAAATTCACTGTTCATGTTGTTGGCTACATGTGCACCAATTCTCTTATCTAAATGGCAAAGTAAGTTACTTTCCAATATTCAAGAATTGAAAGGTTCTATTCTAATTTTAAGGTAATGGATTTACTTCGCAACCATTGAGAAATTATGGACATAAAAACTTTGTGTTGCAATCAGTGACTGGATATGTTTATCATCAGACACTGTTTAATATATGGTCTCATATTCTGACCTTTCCAATAGATTTGACATTGTAAGTTATTGTTTTTTATTGGAAATCAACTAAACACATGTTGTGGAACTGTTCATAGATGGGCATGGTATTTTAATTATTATGGAAGTGTGTGTTTTCGTCAATTTCCTGGTTTATTATATTGGATTCATTACATTTTGTGTTTAGTGCAATTATTATCGATATCCATAGTTTCGAATAATGAAACAACCCCAGATATCAAAGCACAATCAAAGACAAAAAATCAAATTTATCGATTCCAATTCTTCATTACATGCTTTTTCTTTTCTCTCTGGTATTTTATCATTCCACAAATACTAATACCAAAGTCAATGACATTGTTTCGAATAGTTTTGCCAAATTGGATTTTGGAATTTTCCAATGATGAATCATTTTGGCTGAGCTCAATCTTGATGTTCAACGCATTCTTCAGATCTATGGGACATTGCTCAGATTACATTCCACCAATTATGGTCAATCATAAAGATGCACCTTTCAATTCTATTGGAAAAGGTTTCGTCGCCACCTTTTCAAAATTTGTATTTGACTGGAGAGGAATTATATTTGTTCCTTTGGGGATATTATCAGAATTATGTGCTGGTTATCCTGGAAGATTGTATGTATGGAGATTGTTGGCTAATTTGAGGAAAGTTTGCAATTTTATTGGAATTAAGGATGAAGAGCAACGTTTCTTTTCATTGAATTGGAAGAAAGCAGATGAGGCTAGAGATGTTATAACGCATAAAGGTTGGAATGCTTGGTCAGGTACGGAATCAATGTTTTGTTGGGCAAAAAGACCAAATAAAGTATTAAGGTAATTCACTAATAACTAGGATATGTATAATTTTTGGATTATGAATGTAAGGTGCGATGGTCGAGTGGTCTAAGACGACACGTTTAGGAGTATAAATTCCGTGTTCCGCAAGGGCGTGGGTTCAAATCCCACTCGCATCAAATTTTTCGCTTGATGTTGTTTTTTGGTTATTTGCATAAATTTTATAATTTTATTATTTTCTTTTTAAAAAATAAGCTCTTTGCCCTGATTGTTTTTTGAACAAACTTACTGCATCTCTTGATCCATGACCCAACCTGCTCTCCCTGGTACAGAATTATTTGATAATAATTCATACGGAGAGGATCTTTCCCAAGAATTTTATTCCTCTCCTTTGCCAAAGTATCCTTATGAAGAAGAACAGCAAGAATTTGACGATATTTTCAATTCGCAGGATGATGCGAAGAATCAAGACAATCAAGGTGTTAGCGTACCTTCTACTCCTGCTGTCCATGCTGAGCGTTCCAACATTTTGGAAGGCAGCAATGTTGTTGATCAAGGCTTGTTGGTTGCTCCTACAACTGATTTATGCTATTGTCAAGAACAAATTCAACAACAAATCAATCTTACAATGTTAATGTTTTCTATGATCATCAATGGACAACTCCAACTGGTTCCTACTCTACAACCCACAACAACACTTGAAGTGTTGGGGGAAGCACACCATCCACCAGTTGAGACTCCAGAGTTTATTAACAAAAGACCAGAAAGACCTCCAAAACTTTGAAGAGAAAGGCTATCGATTCTGGTAGTGAAGATGATGATGATCATTCGAGTGTTTCTTCATCTACTCCAAAGAAGAAGACCAAGCAACAGAGCAGTGCACCAATGACAATGTCACCACCTCCTAACACTGATAACAACCAAACTCTTTTAGTGAGTAGTGGAGCTGTGCACAATGATATTTATGTGCAGTTCGAAAAACCACTCGATAAGGAGATTTCAGTCCAATGGTCTCTTTACTGGTCTTCAAAGCCAACAACTCAAATCAATGAACATGCTAAAGTTGATTTTACATTCCATCCTTACGATGGTACTGTCTACAGACTCAACATTCTACAAGGTAAAAATTTAATTCCATACCTAAAAGAACACAAGCAACTTCCTAAAAAGCCTTCAAAGCCTAAAGAATTATCTGAAGGAGGAATCTACTATTTACAAGTCAATTCCCAACTTTATCAATTATATTCAAAGTACAATCAAAAAGACAACGAATTAGATAACACTCTTATTTTAAATTCCAGCACTTGCACTGGTAATTTATCAATGCAATGGGTTAAACAATCCAACTATACCCACAAACCATTCCCAACACCTACCTGTCAAATTAGTTCCATCATTTCAAATGATGCTAATTAGACTAATAACTCGTTAACTCGAGTGAGTGTGAAAAATACCATTATTTTCTCTCTGTACCAAGCTGGTATCCATTCATTTAATATTCCTCAATTAGGTTTCAAGACAAGTTTTAAGACTTATTAATTGAGAACTGTTAAATGAATGGATACCAGCTTGGTACAGAGAGAAAATAATGGTATTTTTCACACTCACTCGAGTTA